TGCCCAGATCATTTGCGAACAAGATGCCTATGTTGAACACCCACGTCGCAACCGGTACCGACTTGCGGGGCACGGTGGTCACTATTTGATAGTTTAGATAGAGGATACCGAGGATTTTGAAGACCGAAACACCATGTAGCGCGAGAAGGTAGATGATGGCAAAGCCAAAGTCGAATGACGCCCGTTGATTCAGCCTCTGGTCTGCCTCTTCCAACGTCGGTCGCGACGCCTGGCCACCTGAGTTCACTCGGTATATGACTAGGTTGTAGAGCTTCCGGAGCAGGGGATGGAAGACGAGGAGGGCGACGAGGTAGGGCACGTTGTTTCGAAAGGTACGGTATTGCGCATCGGTGACATCCTTGGACTCGTCAGTTGGCGAATACATGACAGCTCGGCGCAAAGGTGGCTTACGATCTTGCGGCCGGGGATCCAGCCAGGCGACAGATAATACTCATAGTTGCGATAATTGGGATGCGTAGCTGTGCAGGAACAGAGTGTCAGTCCCAAGAGCAGATGGGGAGATAGATCAAGTCGTACTTTTCGAGGCTTCGTATGCGACCCAAAACATGGAAGGGAGGGCGAATCCGAAGATGACATAGTATAGGTAGAACTCGGGTGTGTTCCACCTCGATTCCGACGGTGGCCGACTGGTCCATCTCGCCGCCCGCTCCTTGCTCGCAGTGGCCGTGTCTTTGCGCGCCTCTCTGACGGTCTTGTAGGGGGTGGTGGACGAGACGACGAAGCGGGTGTCGAGGGTGTCGAGGTCGTAGACGTTGCCAAGATACGAAAAGGCACCCATGGTGGATGCCGTGGACAGGCACCGATGCCTACAAGCTGTATAATTGAACTATAGCAACATTAGGAACCGAAGTGAGCGACAGCAACGAGTAGTTGTCGTCGGAGAAGAGCAATTTTAGGTATAAGGTGGGGAGAAAAGAGTGACTTGGTAGATTAAGATAGACGGTAGGTAACCTTTAATGCTGCAGGTGCTCTAGATCCTCGGTTCGTGCCTCGGTGACTCTACAGCACTGTACCTATAGTGCTACCTAATCTAGACACCTGCCTGCCTACATATGTACCTATGAATGTACACTGGGACTTGGGCGGGTAGAAGATAGTTTAGTGGGGCCATATCGAGATCCCTGGCCAGCTTCTCCGAGAAATGAGTTGGCCCCGCCGCTTGACTACCTTGATGACCTACATACCTGTCTACGGCACTTATAGAATTGTACAATTAACCTACTTTAACAGCTTGAGGCATATCAGTCTTCACCTTAAGCTGAGAGCAATGCTTAGTAGATCATCACCGGAACCCATTTAGCTGGTACAGTATTGCCTGCCCCTGACACGATACTCGAAATCGGTCCTCGGGAGTGGAATCGCTATACCCATCCATCTATGAGAATATGCACCCGGAAACAGACAAGTGGTTTATTCAAAGAGGGTCTTTCGGCAGCAAATCCATCGCCTTGAGGCCCAAGCCGTCGCACGGCTTATCAAACGCGACAAGATGGAAACCCCGAGGTCCCTTTCGTCTCTTCGACCTCCCCCCGGAATTGCGAGCTCAGATCTTCAACCTCGCTCTCCGGGACTGTGAGGAACAGGTCCAAGTCGTGCACATCTTCTTGGCCTCCCAGAGGCTATACGCAGAGGCCGCCGAGATCTTCTACCATCACATCTGGTTGGATCTCACCGACCGCACCGAGCCTCCCGGGCTCTTAGCCGAGCCAATCACACCTCTATCGCCTAGGCTTCACGTCCGGACCATCGATCTCAAGATCTACCCAAGGAACAATCTCCGGTCCTTCAACGAGCTTTATGTACCACTCTTGCGCGAAATGGCAGACCAAGGCAGCCTCCACACCCTACGTCTGGAGATCAACGGCAGGTTTCCTCGCCTGGATTTCTGGACAGACCACTGGTCCGACGATGAAGAGTTCAACGAGACCGAGGTATCGCTGCTCATCGGTCCCGAGACTAACGTCGATTACTCCGGCCCGGCTTTTCTAGCCACTCAGCCTTTCCAAACCTTTCTAAGCTTTATCTCCGATCCGCGCATCCCCAAAGTCTTGCTGTATATTTCCAGCGCGGATCATTACAAATTCTGGTGTGAATGCCACCGGAAATTTTCCTCCCAGCACAAGCTTCCGTGTGTTGGCGGCTCATGGGGCGGCAAGTCCAAGCGCTTAAGGGTGAACCAAAAGCATCTCCTGCGTCTTTTCCGAAACGTTCGTACTGTACCGGCCTCAAATCCAGCTGCATCATCACGATCCCCGGGTGTGTCAAGTCGAAATACTTGAGGATATTTATTCTAACCCAGTACAGTCATCCCTATCCAAAATGCGAACAGCGGATACCAGAGATGCAGAGTAATCCGCCATAATAGCCGCGCCCACACATCCGGAAATGCCCCTTGGACCACAGCTTCTTCTAATGACTCTGGATACCATATTGAAGATACAGTGACCATGGCGGCCATACATGTTTATTAACGAATATGTATCTGGATTTTATATGCTCGGTAGTTTTATTGCGCCCGTCCCTTCCTTGTTATGGCGTAGCATCATCTATACGCTCTGCCATGAGTTTACATGCAAGATTGAGCGAGTTAGACAACACCATCGACTAAACACAAGCTCTCACATGCCAGACTATCTCGCTGGCATCTAGTGCTACATCAAAGGCATTGATAGTAGTCTGGCCCTGTATTAGCCTGGCGGGAGCCTCGAGGGGCGAGGTACTACTTACAGTCATTTAGTTTCTTACATGTGTACGGGCTCGCGCACTGAAAGAGCACTCTTGTTAGCTTCCGTGGGATCATGACAATCACCGAAGACGTACCGTGGTCACACCCGTCCATCCAATACCACCACACTGGGCATATTGTGCTGCTCCTGTACCAGTTGTTGGTGTAGCCGTTGCGCTTTTTGTGGTTGTCCGGGTAGAAGTCGGACCGCTTGTCGTAGTCGTCGTACCCGAACCCTACGGCCATTAGTCACGCCATTACCATCAGTTTATTCAACGGTCCATATCACGACTGGATCAACTTACCGTGAATCCGAACCACTCCATGTCAGCATCACCGAAGATATCAATACTATGAGTTATGCCCTAATACTTCCCAGTCAGCACCGAGACTCTTATACTACGATGATAAAGCAGAAACCAAGGGGTACCCCGAACTCACCTGGCCCAGCACACCCTCGACATTAGGTCCAAACACGTAACGGGTATACGGACTCCTGGGCGTGTTAGGATACGTGGCGGAGGGCGTAGTCGAGTATCCAAAGACACCAGTCCACTGCTTAATCGTCTCATAATAGTTCTGCGGATACAGCGTGGTATCTGCCGTGCCGTGGTGAATCCGCATGCGCGGTCGAGCACCGGTGTACCCCGGGTACGCGTTCAAGGCCGCGTTAGCCCAATACTCCTGGCTGAGATTCAGTTGGCCCTGCGAGCATGTGCTGTTCCACCCGTTGACGGTACCCGTGTAGAAACAGGTAGCCGGAACCCCGGCGTACGCGATGCCTGCGGCAAATACGTCGGGGTACGTGGCTGCCAGGACATTCTGGATGGTGTTAGTGACATGCGAAGATTGTAGGAAATTATAGGTTGGGACGGATGAGACGACGGATAACGTACTGTCATCATAGCACCCGACGAAGTCCCAGTAACGAACACGCGGGATTTGTCTCCTTTGTCTGCGACACTCAGAGTCAATATCGATGTTCCAAGCATGAACTATAAGTGTGTTGATCCTCAACGCTTCCAAGGCACAACTTTGACCGAGAAGGGAACCTTGACGTCCCCAAACCCCCAAATAACAAATCAACCCTAGGCACAACTCACACTTATCCAGGGTATACGCCACCATGTTCGCTATCGAGTTACTGTCGGCGCCGCCGTTATGCGTAAGGGCCGCCTTGGACGAGACGTCCCAGCAGGTACCACTATACGGCGACTCGGGGTAGATGACAATAAACCCATGCTTCTCTGCGAGCGTGGCGTACGGCGTACCGGTGTAGTACGCGTTCGCGGTACCGGAACAATAGTGGATAGCAACAATAACGGCCGGGTTCGTGGCTAGGTTGTTGGGCACGTAGATGTACATCTTGGTGCCCGAGGTGTTGGCGCCGAAGTTGGTCACCTGCTGCAGCGAGGCGCCGGCCGCGAACCCGCCGAGCATGAGAAGGGAGCTTAGGAGGCGCATGATGATGACGATTGCCTACCTACCAATGTGCTCTATCTAACTTTATCCGTCTACTGTATAGACAGATAGACCACGTACCGCACTGAGGAGTCTTCACGGGCAACGGGCATAGTGTAGTGCTTATATAACATGTCCACCGGTAGACAGATGAGGACTACTTGCGGATGGCATGGCTCCGTTCCGGTCAGCCGGGATGGAAACCGTCACTTCTCCCTCGCCTCTTTGCGTGTGCGCGTTCCGAAGGCATGCCGGTGATGGCCGGGTTCTCCTTTGAACGAATTATAATACAGAATCTTATTGCGCAGCGCCAACTTGAGACTATTTTATAATATCTCATTCTACATCATTCACTCGACTCCTTGTCATGCACGTAGACGTCTATCCTTAGGCGTGCGTGCGTATCGACAATACAGTTATCCGCCGGTCTGGATCTGGTCTGGTCCGCTTCGGAGCATCTGATCTGATCTGATCTGATCTGATCCGATGGGGAGTTCGGAAGCGAGCTCCGCGCGGTGTGGGAATCTTTACGCCAATTGAGGATAGACTGTTTCCCTGCTTTGATGCGGGGTGACGCTCAGTTAGGTCCCTGGGCATTGTTTGTGGCTCTTACGAAGGGATAGATGACAATGTTCCGCCAGGTATTCAAGAGTGGTTCATACCCCTAACCTAGCAAGGTTCCTGGCCCGGGATAGACATTCTTGCAACCAAAAAAAGGAAAAAATTGTCCTGCTAATTGCTAATCTAGTAGCCAAAATTATAGATAACTTGTGAAAACAGTTAGCAAAATAATCTCTCGATCGGGGAATCGAACCCCGGCCACCTGCGAATTGTATGTTTGACAAGCAGGTATCCTGACCACTAGACCAATCGAGATAAAATGGTAGACATCTTGTCTAATTCCGTGTGCTTGACTGCAACGTTAGTATCCATTATAGCCCCACATGTTTGCACCCATCACCACCTACATACCTAGTAGCCATATAAACTTACCAGCACCTTTCCCGCCTTTAGATACCTGATCTACTGTACGTTCTCTACAAGTATACCTATGCTACAATAATGGTTAGACTTGGGACTTGCCCTACTGTACATACCTTAGGTATTGAGTCAACTTTGCATCAACCCCTCTTAGAATTGTTTCACGTCGGACCCATGCGGAACATCGACCATCACAAGCCCATAAACGAAACGTCAAGCATACCTACAGCAGCTGGGTACATGTAAAACGGCGCATGTCTTCACCACCCACATCCCGGGCATCCTTCCACGTTCCGCGTATAGATACATGGTAGGTGTAGGTATAGATGTAGTATAGGCATGTACCAAGGACTTGAGGAGCATGCTCAAACGTGCATTTACACTTACAAAATACTCGTGCCAAGCCGTACCCGAGTCAAGGCTCATAATGCTTCTATTATAGCCCTGCAGGCCAATATCTACGGTACACTACCGTACGTCTGATAGAGCACATGTGTGCTGTAGTCTGTACAGTACTGTAGATATGCAGCTCACCCCAAACCCCGAGTCCGTCGGATATGCCAATTACCACTGTAGGCAGGTACCTACATGTATGATCCGAGTCTAGAAGTGTCATGCATGCATGCAGCAGCAGCCGTGGACCTACAGTACAGTACAATGTCCACCACACCCAAGCTTACAAACCGAGGTATGTACAGTACCTACATATGTACCCACATAAGGTACTGTTGGCAGTATAGCAGGTATAGTATACTATACTATGTATACTACCTAGGTAAGCCAAGACACCAGTAAAACAGGCGTCCAAGCGAGAATGTCAGGCCACACCATCACCTACATATACAGTACAGACTTATACTACTGTGTGTATGTACAGTACTTGCATACAGTACAGCAGTCTACCCCCCATGCCCCATGCCCCATGCCCCATGCCCCATGCCCCCGTCGAGAGTAGGTGCTATGAACACCCCAGCCGTGTCCCTCCTCCCGAGAGCGAACCAACAAGTCGAGATCTCTGGTTGAGCAAGGATGATCAAGGCAACCTACAGCAAACACGGCACCCCGTGATTTGAGCCCCAAAGACGACGTCCTAGTGGTTCCGAGCTGGTACCTTTTACAAAGTATACGCCTACAGCATTATTGTCATCTATCGGAAACATCCATACGATCTACTGTAAGTCGACTACACTGCTGTATACACGTCGAAGCAAGCAAAGAAAAGCAAATAATAGATAGCCGAGATACGCTACCCACCACGCCATGCCATGCAAAGCGCGGCTAGCTGCTGCGTGGATGGTGGATGGCGGCGTGGGTTGGGATGGTGTCATGTGCCGTCGCCCCGTCGCCATCGTCCCAAATAGGAAGGCTTCTCGATGTTCTCTTGCTGCTACATCTATCTATATACACCTCGTTTCCTGCTCTATCTTTCTCTGCTTCGTGTAACATAATCCATCGCATACGAGATAAGGACGAATGCACTGCACACCACGGCCATCTCCCGTCTCATGTCCACGTATAGTTGGGCCTTACATGTTGAATGGATTCAACAACATCTCAAAGTAACCCCACCACAGCGCCATCTTCCACGGCTGATCAAACAACCGCGAGCGAAGAAAACAGGTACCCGAGTAAGGAAGGTCGTAAGCCGCGAGAATCCTCATGCCAGGGGCTCGGTACGACGTTGAGTTTACTGACACACGCAGCACATCCACTAACAAACATACATACAGTTGTATGCCGACACGGAATGCCGATACATACCAACTAGATAGATAACTCTGCTCACCTATCCACCCAGTCCACCAGCCGTCGGGCGAAGCGAAGCATACCTTACGTCAAGGAGACGTTCAAGAAAGGCAGGCCGTCTACACCACTGGAGACGACGATGATGCAATCTACATTCGTTGATATCTCTTCCGACGGGAAGCGAGTCTAGGCGAGAAGTGACACGTCCTGTCTTTATTTGTTCCGTTCTGTTCTGTTGTAGTCTAGTTGAATTCCATCCAGTTCACTTCCGCAGTTAAACGAGACGTCACCAACCTTTCTGCCAACCATCCCTAGCATCTGTCCAGTGATAGAGCATATATCTGGGAAAGATTACAACGTTACTTGTACGGCGAATACAACTATAATACACACGGAACTACATCTATACAATACAATCACAGATATGGCATATACCAGTTATCCTCGCCACTTATGCCATAGCCTAGCATGTCACTCTAAACACTTGATCCCCGTGGAAAAAGAAATTCATATGTCAAAAGTAAAACACTACACTCTCACCCCCACCTTGCAACATTACCACCATCACCACCATCACTTATCATGCTTACAACGCTCCCAGTCGAGTTTTATGATCAGTCGAATATTAATCAACAAACCCAGAGATTGTGAAGACTAGGGTTAAAGGAAGCAACGCAAAAATAATCTACAGGCCGCGTCACCCAAACTCCTAAACCCCGTGAGGCCAAATGGGTAAAAGCAGGCCTTACGACAAAACTACATTGTAGCACCAAGTATTATTACCTGCTTTGAATTTAATGAATAGAGCTACTGGTACAGAATTTTCTACACTCAAGAGGGACGGTATAATACCCTAGAAATGTCAGTATTCATAAGCCTTTTCCAACTACTTAAATCCATGCCCCAAGCACCTTAATTATATCTTATTCTCCACGACTCCCCGTCACCATGACTATCTAATACGTAGGTACGGATTGAATAAGCCAATTAAAAAGAGACGGGAAGGAAATAACCAAGCTACCTACCTACCTACCTACCTACCTAAGTACCAACCAACCAACTCGACAAAACCCCGTCCTATTATTTATTCTATATGCCACCAACCAACCAACCCGCTTCAACTACAGCCAACCAACCAACCAACCAACCTACCGAAAGAGAAGATGGACCGAAACAACCTAACCTCTACCACAAACCTCCAAAATAAAAGCAATAATATCCCATTATCAATGTATGTAACCCACCCCATCCAAACGACCCCCCCCCAAACACCCCCCCAAGACGACCCCCATCATCTGTCCACCTAATTACCTCTCTACCATATTAGCTGAATTGTTCCTATTCTCCAATACCCGGTGCCGTCTCATTTCAGGGAAGAATTCTCCAATCAGTGCCGTTTGCTCGTCATGTCTCCAACGAGATGAGACAATCTCTGACCAGAAGGGAAGGAAGGGCATCGCGCCCATTCCGACACCGAGGCCGCGAGAAATCAATCAATCCCGAGACATGAACATCGAATCCAAGAAACCAGCCTCCTCGAGTACGTATCAAAACTTATTACACCCATTATCACTAGATATAGGACAAAAGTATGCCAAAGACGGCTAAGATAAACACATAGCACAATACAAAATATACTAATACAATTTCATATCAAAAAATAGCCAAACAAAAACAGATATAAAAATCACAAAAACGTGCAAGCAACTCTTATCTCATTGTGTATATCGTATATCGTACAGCATACACACATCCGCAACCTCGCACTCAAAACTTCGCGTTCTCTTCTTCCTCCCCCACATCACATCATCTAAACCCCCAAGATGGAAATCCAAGTGCCAGCCGGGGGAAAATAAATGACCATAACCTAGAATGTTGAAATGCGAGATAGATAAAGAGTCAGGTCCCATGCTCCCCTTTTATGCCAGATCCAGCACGCCGCCGCATCCATAAACACACACTAGAAAATACCAAAGTTTTTCGATCGTAACCTAAAAAGAAAAAAAAAAAAAAAGAAAAAAAAAAAAAAAAAAAAAAAAAAAAGTCCCAAGTCCATATATCCCATCCTATACCTGTTGTACATGATACCGGTAGAATGCAAATTTGCCTCCCACATCACGTCTCTATAGAAATCGGCAATGTTGAGCCTGCCAAATCGTATATACCCATTCAAAGGAAAATCCCCTTCCCCTCCCTAAGCCGTATAACGCAAATATAGCACCGTGGCGTGCGATGGCAGAACAAATCTGAACCGCAGCTCAGCGACGCTTATTCATGGCTTCGGCAATAGAGGTACCGCCACCATCATAATCCCAATGTCTCTTAAGACTACCGGATTCGTATACACTGGCCACCGACTCCTGCCACATGGCTGGCGTGACAAAAGTTTGCACAGGCGGGGCCGAGTACTGTTGGTGAGGCAGTGGCGGTGGCGGAGCCGAAAGGGGAGCACTGGCTATGGCAATATCCTGGGTGGTAGGGACTTCGGGGGCACCTGAGGAAACGTTTAGAGAATTGGACTGTGGAGTCACCGTGGCCGGTTGGGTTGGAAGCGGCGTACCAAACGTTGAGTTCCATTGACTGTACCTGTCGTCAGTGACATGATACGATGGGCAGATCTTGTCGATTGCATGTTGGGGGGGTTGGGGCACTTACTCAAAAATTCGGGATGGGTTCCACGTAGGCTGGTCTACCAACGGTATTGTGTGGGAAAGCGGTGGTTGTGTACTTTGACCAGCACCGAGCATGGATAGCGACTGTACAGATGGAGAGTCACCCTTGCCGTCCCCCGAGCTTACAGAGATGGGCGTGATGGGATGGTAACTGACGTGTGAATGAGGACCAGCGTGGACATCCAGGTTTGGATCCAAGGAATTGGTCCGTAGCATGGGTGGCTTGAAAGTGTTGGCACGAGGCGGACTCGACTGCGTGCTAGGATGTGGACTGCCGTAAGGGAAACTGGGTTTCAGGACAAACGGCTTCCTGGTATCGGCAGAGAAGGCCTCCCTCACGGCATCTATTTGTTTCAACATTTCCGGCAGAGGCCACGACCCCATTGTTTTCTCGAGAATCCGCATGTGGCGTGTGAAATAGTCCCTAGCATCAGTGTTGATATCTGGATCTGGCGAGGTTAACGCAACCTATTTGTC